CCAGTGACTGTGCACTGGTCGGCCCTGTCCACAGTACATTTTCTTGATTGTTTTGGGGTCACACCCAGTGATGCTCAGGGCTTACTCCTGGCTCTGAGCTCAGGAATCTCTCCTGGTGGTGCTCAGGGGACCTTATGGGACGCTGAGGATCGAATCCGGGTCAGCCATGCGCAAGGCAATTGCCCTCCCTACTATGCTATCTCTCCGGCCCCAGCACAGTACTTTCTGTTTTTTTTTCTACAGACAATATATAGAAAGTTTGACAAGTGCTGAAAAATAAAATTAGCTTTTTTGCTTTTTTTAAAAAAATACTATGATAAAATTATAAACATTTAATTCACCTATCGATTTTTAATTATTACTGATAGAATTTAGGCATATGTTTTCTGTAGCGTTAATGTTTATGGTCTCAAGATATGTGGCCACAGAAGATTAACTAAAGCTACTGAAAGAATGAGTCTTTGCTGTGTGTCTCTTGAAGGAGGGCTGGTTTGGAACCATTAACCCGGGTTCAGAGAGCAGGAGTAGGCTGCTTTGGATGCCTCACAAACTAGAAGAGAAAGTGGTTTTTAAAAAAGAAAAACAATTTTGTGTGTGTGTGTGTGTGTGTGTGTTCCCCTTGTCCAGGGGGTTACGCCTGGCTCTACACTCGGGAACACTCCTGGCAGGCCTGGGGTACCATACGGGATGTCAGCAATCAAACCAGGGTGGGCGGTGTACAAGGGAAGTGTCCTCGCATGTTCCTATCTCCCAGGCCCCGAGAAAGTGATTTTTAGTCCATACACAACACAACCCCATGGACAAATGTGGCAGGAGATGAACAGACACTTCCCAAGGAAGCCAGATGGATGGCGAACAGGCTGATGGAAAAGGGCTCATTATCACTCATGACAGGAAAAGTAAATCCAAACATTCAGATGCCACATCGCACAGCCTGAGGTTGGCACCGACCCCAACGTCTGGAAACATCCACTGCTGCTGAGACTGTGGCGACAAAGCTTCTCATCCACAGGTGGTGGCAACGTCACCCAGATCCGGTACATGGAGATTTTTCAAAATATAAAAGGGAATAAGACCCTTGGCAGCTACCCCCAAATACAAAAACACTCATTTGACTGGACATATGCAGGGGCCGGAACGATAGTCCAGCAGGGAGGGCGTTTGTCTTGTTTGTGGACAGCCCGGGTTCCACCCCCAGCTTTCCAGAGTGCAGAGACAGGAGAAAGCCCTGAGCATTGCTGGGTCTGGTCCCCAAACCGAATGTTTTGTTTTTTTTAAAGAAAGACATATGCACCTCTATGTTCACTGCTGCACTCATCCCCATCCCCAAGACAAGGAAACCAGCCAAATGCCCAATGATGGTGAACAAATCAAGAAGCTGGTACCACCCAACAGTCTCCCACTCGGGAATGGCCCAGCTCCACCGCTAATCTCAAGGAGACAAGGAGCCGCTGACCCTCCCCGACTTCCAGATGGACCAATCTCCAGGCGCTGGGGTGTTCTCAGATTGGGGGGCGAGACTGCCACAAGGGACCCCTCACCACCACCAGAAACCCCACAGCTCAGCTCCGGAAGAACATGATTCCACGACCTTTCCCAGGTAGGCTGGCTGGGGCTGAGAGCTCTGGGCCTCCTCAGGATGGGGCGGGCAGACCCCCTCCTGCCTGAAGGCCCAGCAGCCCAGCCACACCCAACACCCACCGCCAGAGAAACACAGCTGCACAGCTGAACCACATCAAGCTGCCGCCCCCCCCACTGGGTGCAGCTCACAGTTCCTGGCCTGCGCAGCCGCATACGTGGCTGTACAACCCCTCCAAATTCCCTAGTACTGACAGCAAATCTGATGGGAAAGCTGCCTAGAAGCCCAGCAGGCTCAGTGAACGAAAATAACACGCAAGGTTCAACAGCACCAAGTGGCCCAGTCAATCCTCAGACGAAGACGTCAGTGACACCACCGAGAAATAGCACAATCACCACAAAGTGACTTTTACCGATCTATTTCCTGGTATTCCCATTTGTTGTTGTGTTGTAACACCATGAAGCAAATTTGTTACTGCCTGCACGGGGATAGGATGGGGTGGTGGGTGGGAGACTGGGGGGACCCTGGTGGAGGGGTCACATGGTGGTGGGGTTGTGATTGGAACAGTGAATACCCGAAAACAACTGTATGATGAACAACAAAAAAAAAATGTGTGTAGAGACAACAGAAAACCATGCAGCTCTAAGAAGAAAAACCAGACAATTTGCAGCAACATGGATGGAACTAGAGATCAGGCTGAGAGACGTCAGAACGGGACAGAGACAGAATGATCTCTCGTGTGTGGGACTAAAAGATCCATAGCAAGGGGACAGCAAAGGGCTACAGATCCACACAACTGATTTATTGGGGTGGGGGAGTTGAAAGAAATGCTTTGGGGTCCTTGGGTAAGGGAGGTGGGTACACGGATGATGGGTGAGGTGTTGGAATCATGTACCCAGGAATCATGTACCACAGAAGCTCAATCAAAACATTTCTTACTAAACAGAGAAGGAAACTCTGCACACTGACCTAGGCTCTGCGCTGCAGAGATGAGGCCAAGGGTATGGCGCACCACCCCGAAGCTAGGATGCCCTTTGTGGCTCTGCCAGTGCCCAGGTCCTGGTGAGCACCACAGCCAGGAAAACAGCCAAACACAAGAACAACGGCTTCACAGCAAAGTGGGCTTCCAAACCCTGCCATCAGTGTGGGCTTAGAAACGAACACTGTGCCCACAGACCTGATTCCACGCTGGATTTTGAATATCAACTAGGAAAATTGAAAGGGTCATCTTAGGGGTGGGGGTAGGGTGGGGGGGGGGGGGATAGAATCCCATAAAGGTGACAGAAGTGAGATCATGAAACAGCAATGAACGTTGATGCTGGGCTTGGCAGCCAAGAATGTAGTTTGAAACCTACTGAAGAAACTTGAGCACGGGGTGGTGGTGGTGGCGGGGGCAAGTGACAGCACAGCGGGGAGGGCATTTGCCTTGCACACGGCCAACCCGGGTTCTATCCCCAGCATCCCACAGGGTCCCCGGAGTCCCGCCAGGAGTGATTCCTGAGTGCAGAGCCAGGAGTAACCCCAGAGCACTGCCGGGTGTGACCCCCAAAACCAAATAACAACAACAACAAAAACCCCTCAGGGGCTGGAGCAACAGCACAGTGGGAGGGTATTTGTCTTGCAGCGGCTGATCCGGTTCGATCGGTTCGATTCCCCAGCATCCCATATGGCCCCCTGAGCACTGTCAGGAGTGATTTCTGAGTGCAGGTAAAGGTAAAGGTAAAGGCCCTCCCGTTGATCGTCGATTTGCTCGAGCGGGCCCAGTAACGTCTCCATTGGAGACTTTGTTGTTACTGTGTCTGGCATATCGAATACTCTCGGTAGCTTGCCAGGCTCTCTGAGAGGGGCGGAGGAATCGAACTCGGGTCGGCCATGTTGGCCGCTTGTAAGGCGAACGCCCTACCCGCTGTGCTATCGCAGAACCAGGAGTAATTCCTGAGCATTGCCAGGTGTGACCCGAAGAGAATAAGGGAAAAAAACCCTTTAGCATTAACTGTAGTTGAGAAAAATAAGACTCCTACTGACATTACTAAACAAACTTTCTGAGCAGAGTCACGGCCAATCCGAGCACCATCTGATATACAATACTGAGGCCAGCACTAGTAACCCAGCCACCAGTGTCTTCACTTGGAAATCTCTGTACCTAAAGACACCAAGGAAAATACAAGATTTTCCATGTTTTATACATGCTTTTGGAGGGGAGAGTCAAACTCAGCAGGGTGAGTGTGACTCCTGGATCTGTGCTTGGGGGTCACAGCTAGCAGGGCTTGAGGGACCTGATGTGGGGCTGGGGATGGAACCTGGGTGGGTCAGCCGTGTGCAAGGCAAAAGCCCTCCCTGCTGGACTATCTCTCAGGCCACTGAATGTAATTTAAATTTTACTTATATTTGGTTTTAAAGCCACACCCAGCAGTTCTAAGGGGCTCCTCCTGGCTCTGCACTCAGGAATTACTCCTGGTGATGCTCGGGGGACCTTATGGGATGCTGGGAATGGAACTCAGGTCAGCCGTGTGCAAGGTAAACACACTCCCTGCTGTGCTATCACCCTGGCGACTAAACATAGTTTTTCTTTTATTTTTTTATTGTTTTTTTTTTTTTGGTCACACCCAGAGATGCTCAGGGGTTCTTCCTGGCTGTTACTCAGGAGTTACTCCTGGCGGTGCTTGAGGGACCATATGGGATGCTGGAGACTGAACCTGGGTCGGCCGCGTGCAAGGCAAATACCCTATCCACTGTACTATTGCCCCGGCCCCTGAACATAGTTTTTAAACCACAGGACTCTTGTAGTTTTTCCTTCGTGGGGTTGATAAGTCTACTCTGTAGTATTTTTATGCCACTGACACTGGCTGGCATGACGTCAGCAGTTACTGTCATTCCACTTGGATATCCCAAAAAACAGGTCAGCAGGCCCAAAAGATACTCAACAGAAACATATCCCAGGGCCAGAGAGACACAGCAGGAGAGCGCTGGCTTTCACCCCTCCAACCTAGGTTCAATTCCCGAGCAGGGCCACAGGGCATGCATGTGGGGACTCCGGTCGGTACGCCGCAGCCCCACAGGACACCTGGGCAGAAGGGACACCTCCAGCCCTGACCCTTCAAGTCCACTACCCAAACCCCAGCCCAAGTTCCTGGGAAAAGAGCGTCCAGGGGCCTCCGTGTCCTCGCTGTCAAGAGAAGGAACAGTGCAGCTGCTCTGGGCGCTGAGCAAGAACCGTCACTGTGGGCTGCTGTGAAATCCAGAATGGACAGAGCTGGAGGGGACCCACTCTGCAGGGAGGGGCTCAGGGAGGATGGGGGACACTTATCCACAGCCTTTAGGTCTGTCTGGCACAGACGGCCAGATACAAACTGCCCTGCCGAGACACATGCACCAGAACCCGTCTGATAGAACCAGGAGGATGTACCACACATCAGGTTACCTGGAGGCAGGAACCGCAGCTGGTTGTTGGCTAAGCGAAGGTGCCGTAAAGCCCTCAGGTGACCGATTTCTGGGCAGACAATTTCTAAGGCATTGTCGCTGAGATCCAAACACTGGAGTTTGACCAGGGACCCTATGGCTTCAAAGAAGGCAAAGGTCAAACAAAGCTGACTCGAGCCAGATGCACAGCTCAAATGAGGCACCACAGTCCAACTCAAAATGCTCTATTAGTACTAATTAACAATGATATTAATAAATTCATATTAATAAAGAGAATGCTATTTTAATATTAACATCTGTCTCCAGTTTGAGCTCTGTCTTTTTTTTTTTTTCATTTCATGAGCAACTGAAACTAAAAATTTTTTGTTTTGGGCCACACCTGGTGATGCTCAGGTTCTTACTGCTAGCTCTAAACTCAGGGGACCCTCTGAAGTACTGGGGAGTGATACTGGGTCAGCTGCATGCAAGGCAAGCACCCTACCTACTGTACTACTGCTTCAGCCCTCAAATTCAATTTTATGTCAGTGCTCTAACTTGTACCTCGATCTAAAATATAAAAACAAATGAAGACAAATAAAAAACAGTAAATCAATACAAAAGCCGGGGTGCTAAATGATTCATGAAACAATGTATGACAGTCTTTTTTAGATCTGCCCCAATTAACTTGTTTTATTACACTTGGATTTGGTCATTTTATTATTTGCCAAATAACTCGCCTAATAATAATTTGCCTATCACCCTAAGCATTGCAGGCCTGTTACTTCTTAACCAATTACTGATGAGGGGAGAAACGTTTTAAAATTAATAAAGCTGCTATGAATCAAGTTAACTTTAAGGTCCTTTTACATTGGCACAGTTTGAGTTGATTTCTTTCTCAACCTCTTCCTCTAGTTCCTTTAAAATTATTCAGGTTTTCTAAAATACACTGATTGGGTAGAAAAAAAAAATCTTTGATACCTCAACTAAATTAGTTTCAAAGAAACACAACTAAATTAGTTTCAAAGAAACAAAATTATTCTACTATTTTATTTTTATTTATTTATTTATTTTATTTTTTGCTTTTTGGGTCACACCCGGCGATGCACAGGAGTTACTCCTGCTTCATGCACTCAGGAATTACTCCTGGTGGTGCTCGGGGGACCATATGGGATACTGGGAATCGAACCTAGGTCAGCTGCATGCAAGGCAAACGCCCCACCTGCTGTGCTATTGCTCCAGCCCCCTATTCTACTATTTTAAAGCACAGCTTACACAAAATTAGGGGAAAACTAAAAATTGAAAGTGTTTTTTTTTTTTTTACCTTCTGGAATGACAACAATGTTATTTGAGTGAAGGTACCTGCGGGAAAGGAAGAAAAAGATGCTGTTACACTCACTTTGCTGGATCATCAGTTTATAAAACATCCACTCAGAGAAGTTTTCAAACACATAAGAACTAAAACTCTCTTAAACAATCTACTCTAAGTACATACAAAATAATAACCCCCAACTAATACAAGCTTGAGGAACAACTTTATGCTGGAATCTCAGATACTAAAATTATAAACGGATTTAGCTGTCATTCTAAAATAAAAACATGCAGAAGAGAGAGATTAGGTTTTCCTTTGCTATGAATCACATTAGTTTTATTTTAAGGTCCTTTTATATTGGCAGAGTTTGGGTTGGTTTCTTTCTCAACCCATTCCTCTAGTTCCTTTAAGATTATTCAGGTTTTTTAAAATACACTGATTGGGTAAAGGAAATAAATCAATAGGCACTGAATAAAGTAAAATGCAACTTTGCGTTTTGTGCAAAAAACCAAGCACGGAAAGAATAAATCTCCCGGTAGCCACTGAAAATCCACCAATGCCAAGGTGCCGAGTTTATTTCATACTAAAAGAAATTTCATAAACAATAAATCGAATTCTTTCCTTGATTAAAAAAAAAAAAAAGATCCCCCTGGCAAGGCCAAGGCATGGGGACGCTTCCACAGAAGTGTCTTGGCCGCCCTCTGCTGGAAAATTTGATTAGCAGCATCACCAGTTCAGGAGTAAAAAGACCCACACTGGAAGCAATCATCCCCCCCAACTCGCCAAGGGTGGCCCCACACCAAACTCAAACCTCCCAAAACTCTTAACAAAGAGAAATGGGATTTTAAAAGCAGGGCGGGAAGGACAGGAGCCACAGCACAGTGGGGAGGGCACAGGGCTGATCTGAGTTCGATTCCCGGAATCCCATAGAGTTCCTCGAACACAAACGCATCTACACATTTAAGCAATTTCCACAAACGCATCGATACCACTGATTTACAGACAAGAACTAGATAGGCCATTTTCAAATCTGTTGATTTACTTCTTGCACCTTGGAAATCAATCTTCAAAAGGATTTTTTTTTTTTAATTCTGATTTGGGGGACACTTCCAGCAATGCTCTGGGATTACCCCTGGCAGGGCTCGGGGACCCTATGGGGTCCCAGGACAGAACCTGAATCTACACATGGAAGGTAAGTAACCTCCCCACTGTACCATCTCCCCAGCTCCTCTCATCAAGTATTTCAAAATACAAGTTGGAAAATTTCCTTTCGTTTTTTTTTACAAAAAAATTATTTATTGTGCCACCTGGGCTCTGTGCTCAGGGATCAATCCTGGTAGGGCTCGGGGAACCCGATGCAGTGAAAATATAATAATAATCATTGCAAACAGACCCAATGGAATCAGCAACTAAGAAGGGGAAAGATGGTCTGAATACCAGGTTTGAGTATGTCAACAAAAATAAGAAGTCAGAGAGAGATGATGAAGTACAGAGAAGAACAAAGACCTGGGCTCCATCCCCAGCACCCCACAGGGTCTCCTGAACACCCCTGGGGCTGATCCCAGGGCACAGACAGAAGTCAGTCCTAAGCACAGCCGTGGGTGGCCCAAACTCCTACAGAACACCCCCACCACCCCCCGCACCAGCCCCAGCAACAACAACTAAACTTAACCTGGTGACCAAGAATTCCAATCCCCAAAGACAAAAATGAAACCTCAAGTGATTAGACATGATAATGATTCATGTGGAATAAAAAACTACAAAGACGTTTTTTGGTTTCTGTTGGGGGGGCACCCCCAGTTGTGCTCAGGGCTTACACCTGGCTCTGCTCAGAACAGGACGTGGACAGGACAGTGACCCGAAGGGTGCTCAGCACGCACCCCACGCGTGACAGTGCAGGTGAGGCTGAGAGCAAGGGAAGATGGGGCTGATGCAGCCGCTTGCTGGCTCGGCTGGAAGCCCGACAACAGCTCACTACGATGCTCTGACAACTTCGTGAAACTTGAACACAATTCAAAGAACTGCGGTGTTTATGTCAGTGCTGGATGATGTGCTAGGCAGTGACACAATATTTTGTCATTTTCTCTACGAAGTGAGTTTTTGGAATTGCTTTTCCTTCTCTTCCTGCAGATAAATAGCCAAGATAGCTCCCAACCCTTCTCCACCTCAAATCTCTTCCTTCTTCATAACTGACCACTAAGGTAACCGAGTAGAGCATTTAAAAAGGATTTTTCCACTGGGGGCCCGGAGCAATAGGACAGCAGGGAGGTACTTGCCTTGCATGCAACTGACTTTGGTTCGATCCCCAGCATCCCACATGGTCCCCTGAGTACCACCAGGAGTAATTTCTGAGTGCAGAGCCAGGAGTAACCCCTTAGCATCGCTGGGTGTGGCCCAAAAGCCAAAAAACAAAAGCAATAGATTTTTCCAATATTAAGAAAGGGAAAGAGCACAAAGGAAGTCCCCCCAATTTATCCCAGGGGGCCTAAGGTCCTGTGATAGCAAACACCCAGACCAGGGCATCAGAAGACAATGAGGAATACAAACTTAAAAAAAAAAATCCCTGATGAATACGAATGTGAAATTCCTCAACTGCAGAGTGAATCCCATGACACAGGGGGCTGAGTTCACAATCCAATAGGATTCCACCCCCACCCAGGGCTGTTGCTGGAACATCAAGAATCATTCAATGGAACATCATTACAGCAAAAAGAACCCACATTGGCTGGCCATCTAATTTGGGGGGAAGGTGTGAGAGGCTGAGCCACACCCAGGGCTCTGTGGAGACCGGGTAGTGCTGGGGGTGGGACCATGATCTGACATGAGCAAGGAGGCATAGGCAGAAACCGGGTCCAAAGGGCCCGAAGCCCCCAGGACCCCCCAGCCCCCACACTGGAAGCAACCACCCCCCCCCCAACTCGCCAAGGGTGGCCCCATACCAAACTCAAACGTCCCAAAACCCTTAGCAAAAAGAAAAACGGGATTTTAAAAGCACGGCGGGAAGGAGACCGGAGCCACAGCACAGTGGGGAGGGTGTTTGCCTTGCACAGGGCTGATCTGAGTTCGATCCCCGGCATCCCGTAGGGTTCCCCAAGCACGGCAAGGAGTGAGCCCTGAGTGCAGAGCCAGGAGTAAGCCCTGAGCATGGCTGGGTGTGACCCAAAATAAACAACAACAAAATAGGGCGGGAGGGGCCAGAGCCATAGTACAGCAGGGAGGGCATCTGTCTTTCAGGCTGCCGACTCGGGTTCAATCCCGGCATCTTGTATAGTCCCTGAGCACTGCCAGAGTGATTCCTGAGTGCAGAGCCAGGGGTAACCCCTGAGCATCACCAGTGTGACCCAAAAAGCCAACACAAACCCCAAAACAAAACAAAACCCTTAAAAAAATCGTTTGGAAGCACCCTACTTCTTCCACCTACGTGCCTTATCACCGACAAATTAGAAATCAATACATTAAAACAGCATATCCTGTTTTTTCTGAATAACTTCAAAATTCTATGCCATTGAGGTTCGCGTGGAAAAGTAAAGAAATAAGACTTACAGTTCCACAAGGTTTGGGAGCTTCTGGGCAAGGTTTTCTGGCTACAAATGAAAAAACTCAGAATTAAACATTCATCCAACACCACCAAGAAACCCTTCTCATTAGCTTAAAATACAATGTGTGGGGCTGGAGTGATAGTTCAGCGTGGAGAAGGTGTTTGCCTTGTACGTGGCTGACCCAGATTTGATCCCTAAGCACAGAGCCAGGAGTAATCCTTGAGCACTGCTGTGTGTGGCCCCCAAATCAATAAATAAATAAACGCTTCATAATGGCATTTTTCTTCTTGTTCGGGGCCCTACAACTAGAGATGTTCAGGGATTGCTCCTGGCTCTGCACTTAGCAACTGCTCCTTGCAGACTCAGGGGATCATAAGGAATGCCGGGGATTGAACCCGGGTCTGCCATGTACAAGGCAAACACCCTCCCTGCTGTACTATCTCTCCAGACCTCACATCAGAATTTCTGATATGCAGCGGAGAAATAAACTCTGGTTAGGCTGCATTTGCCATGCTAGTGTACCTTGGTTGAGAGGATTTATGATCCAGGAAGTTCTAAATGTTTTGACCTGTAAAGATCCTGATGAATAAAAGCAATTATTATTTTGACTCCATTTGTTCCATATATTTTACATAAAATATGTATTTATGAGTTTTTATTTTCATTATATTTAATTTTAAGTTTATTTAAGTGAAATTTGAATTTTAATTTCATTGTTTGAATTTTAATCAAATATTAAGGGGGTTCTCAGAAATGGTCACTGCTATTAACTTCTCCCACTTCACGATATTAGTACATCCAAGTTTTTTATTTTAGCAGATCGTCTGCACCTAATACCTTGAACATAAATATTTCCTACTCAAAAGATGGCCGGGAGGACCACGGTAGGAAGGACCATTGCTACAATGGGTGGGGAGGGCAGTTGGGACAGAGAAGGGACCACTGTGACAATGTTGGAAAGTACCACTCTGGACAAGAACTAAGTGTTGAAAGCAGGTAAAGTGATACGCAGGACATCTTTTCCAGAGGGAGGGGAGGGAAGAAGAGAGGCGGGAGAGAGAGACTTGGGGGGCAGGGGGAGGGAAAGAGAGGGGGGGAGAGGGGGAGAGAGAGAGAGAGAGAGAGCGCGCGAGAGAGCGAGCCTGCCATAAAAGCATAAAAATGCATCCTGGGGGAGGTGCAGGAGGGAAACTGGAGACGCTGGTGGTGGGAAATGTCTGCTGGTGAAGAAATGGGTGTTGGAACATTGTGTGGCTGAAACCCAATCATGAACAACTCGGTAACTGTGTATCTCAGGTGATTCAAACAATTAAATAAATAAATAAATAAACATTTCTTACTCAACAAAACAAACAAACTCTTCACTAGGTTTCTGAAGCGGGACCATTGTTTCTTCACATATCTCGTAAAGGTCAACCTGGGAATGGACTCACAAGGATCAACAACAGCAAACATGGGCCTGGAGCAACAGCACAACGGAGAGGGCCTTGCCGTGCATGCCCTCCATCCGTCACCCCAGGGTCCCCTGAGCACCACCAGGAGTGATGCCTGAGCACAGAGCCAGGAATCACCCCTCAGCGCTGCTGGGTGTGACCCCAACAACAAAAAAACACACAACAACACAATAGAGAAGAGGGAGGGACAGGCCTTCACCCTTTGAGGACTCTCTAGGGGTAGGATGTACACTGTCACACGGGCCATTCCTTCCCCTTTGAGAAGGAAGGGAAAGAGGAGTACAGAAGAGAGAAGGGGCTGGTAGGGGGAAAAAGTGAGAAAATTAGGACGCCCCCAATTATTCCTCAAAAATGCAAGACCAGAAGTCGGTGGTTCTAGAACCCAGGAGACACCCAGAATCATACCCCCACCCCCACCGAAACCTTCACGTGAAAAGATCCACATACAACAAGGACCACTGGGACCACCGAGTCTAATGGCCAGCAAACAAAACAGACCCAAACGGCCAGCAGCAGGAGCATCTGGTGGCCGGCGAAATGACACAGCCGCAAGCAGTCCCGGGGAAGACACGGCAGAAGGGATGCTCGAAGCTCAGTAATGTGGCTGCCCTGGAGGGCACTGGGTTCCGTGAAATGAGTTGGGGGAGAAAATGAGGTGGGGGAGAGGGTGTCTCGCTCATCCGCGGAATTCAGAGCCAAGGAAGTGGGGACCAGACAGAACCCAGCCAGACAATCCTTTGCCCTGAGATTACAAAGCTGATTCCTAGGGGCTGGAGCGATAGTTTAACGGGAAGGGTGCTTGCCTTGTACCTGGCACATCCAGGTTCGCGTCCCAACACTACATAGGGTCCCCTGAGCCCACCAGGTATAAACCCTGAGCAATACTGGGTGTGGCCCTAAAAAAACAGCAACAACAACAGTATCAGTAATGGTCATGGTCCTCCCCGTTGTTCATCGATTTGCTCCAGCGGGCCCAGTAATGGCTCCATTTTTTGGAGACTTAATTGTTACTGTGTTTGGCATATTGAATATGTCACGGGCAGCTTTCCAGGCTTTGCCGTGCGGGTGATATCTCGGTAGCTTGCTGGGCTCTCTGAAAGGGGCGAAGGAACCGAACCCAGCTAGGCCGGGCTGGCTGCGTGCAAGGAAAACCGCCTACCCCTGTGCTATCACTCCAGCCCAGTATCATTTAAAAAAAAAAGGAAAAAAAAACCTGACTTCCAGGCAGGGGAGAGATGGTTACTTTTTAACTACCACACAAAGAAGCTGACCTTTACTTTAAAAAAGAAAACTGGTTTTGAGTGTGTGTGGCCATTTCTCAGTCACCTTCTAGTTCAGGAAAGTGTCTCCCTATCTGTTATACAATTTTAATTGATCTCCCTGAAAGCACATGAGGAGACCTTTCTGATTCATACTCAAACAACCACGTATTCACCACTGGAGTCAAAGATTGTTTAGAATGATCCTTTTTGTTGTTGTTGTTGTTGTTGTTATTGGGGGGGTGGGTCACACCAGGCACTGTTTCTGGTTCTGTCCTTAGGGGTCACTTCTGGAGAGCTTGGGATCTTACGGGAGGCTGGACACTGAACCCAGGTCAGCCGTGTGCAAGGCCAGCGTCCTACCCACTGGGCTCTCTCTCTGGCTCCTGTGCTTAACGCTTCCTCCCAGCCCAACCATTTCAATTCTATGTGTCAAAGATCATTTCTTTTGTTTGTTTTTTGGGGGTGGGGGGCACCTCAGCAGTACTCAGGGCTTATTCCTGGTTCTGGGTGGGTCTATTGCTGCTGGTACTGAGGAAACCCCAGGGCTGGAATCATAGTGCCAGTGGGGAAGGCACTTACCTTGCATGCAGCAGACCCGGGCTACCCAAAAACCCAAACCAAACCAAACAAAAACCCAAAGTAAGCCCAGGAGATGCTCAGTGGGGCTAAGGGAAGAGAAATTTGTTTATTTTAATGTTTCTGTTCACATCCAACGATGCTCAGGGCTGACTCCTGGCTCTGCACTCAGGGATCACTCCTGGCGGTGCTCAAGGGACACTATGGGATGCTGAGGGAATGAATGGGGGTTGGCTGCCTGCAAGGCAAGTGCCCTCTTCAATGCGCTATGGCTCTGGTCCCATAAGGGAAGCAGAAGTTTCGCATCAATTTTCTAAGTGGTGCACCGTGGACTCCTTTTCCTTTGTGTCTTCCTGCAGCCCGCTAACAGCAGCGGGACAGGAATTCTGAGTGCAAGATCTCCCCCGGGGGGTTTAGATGACCGCATGCAGAAGACCAAGTAAAGAAGGCAGGGTCCAGGACAGCACTGTGTCACACCTGGAATACCTGGAACACTCCTGGCACGGCTCGGGGGGACCCTATGGGGTGCTGAGGATTGAACCCGGGCCGGCCCGGAGCCTGGCCAGCGCCCTCCCTCCCACAGCCCCATCGCTCCGGCCCAGGGCGCTGTCCGACCTACCAAGGTGGTGAGGGAGTTGCGCTTCATGTAGAGCCGCTGCAGGTGCTGCAGCCCCTCCCCCCTCAGCAGCTCCCGAGGGAACTGTTCCAGGTTCCGGTAGTTCAGGAACAGGTTCTTGTGCCTCTCCAGCCGGGCCACGGAGATGGCCTTGCACAGTTCGGACGCCATGTCTGCACGGGGCCCATGGGCGCGCTCTGGCACTACATCTTGTCAAAACGGCTTCATTTCTGCAGAGAACAAGGGCATTGGCGTGAGTGGGGGGGGGGGTCTGGGGGGGCAGATGCCCACTTGCGGCCATGATTTGGAAGGACCCCAACTCTTCATAAAAACCACCTGAACTTAATTATCCTGACTTCAAAGACAGAGTATGAATCACGGACCCGGTCTTATTTCTGTGCAACCCAAGAAACAGCTGATAAATCAGAGGTAGAAAACAAATTCTTTTTGGGGATTGGGGTTGGGTTTGGGGTTACCCTGGCTATGCTCAGGGATCGCTCCTAATGATGCTGAGTATTGGGTCAGCCACACGCAAGACTTCATGTTCATATGGACCACACACAGAAGACAAACATGGAGGTGTTTTTGTTGTTTCTTTTTTTTTTCGGGGGGGGGCACACCTGGCTTACACCTGGAAGGGCTTGAGGGAACCTCTGGGATGCCAGGGATCAAACCCAGGTCAGCCACACGCAAGACAAATGCCCTTTTGGCTGTACTGTCGCTCCAGCTCAGCCGTCCCTGTAGTATTCAATTATGATTTCCCTGGTTTGCTGAACCAAGTGTTCTTCACACTTTTTACCCCTGCATTTGTCCTGCATACTGGCCTTCCTTAATCAATGAGACAGTAATTTCCGTTCTTTCTACAACTGCCAGTCATCAAAAACAGCAGCCTGAACTACAAAATATGAAGGGCAATTTATACGAAGTGGTCAGATCCCAGAGCAGGAGAATGAATCCCGTTCTCACTGCAAAATTGACCAGTAAATTTTGGCAAAGGTCTCGCCTGGACCCACTGGTCTGATCAAGACCTCCTTGTTCTCCGCCATGGGGTTGTCTTGGGGTGCTTGAGTAGGCAGGACACCCTTTACAACAAGGCAAACGCTGTTCCCCTTTGAGAAAACCAGGCCTTCTCAGCGAAAGAGCATGCCAGGCTTTCTCAAAGAGAGCATTCTTATGGGTGCTCATGTCTGGACTCAATAAGTGGGATATTTCACCAAGTAATGCATTTGGTGTGTGGTTACTTACATGGAAACCCAAGGAGTCACGGTCGCTATGGCTATTTTCATTCTCTGACTTGTGCGTATTTTGTACCTGCACTGGCTACTGTATAATCAGTCCCTCTTGTTCTTACCATGTGCGGAGTCCACTTTACAGAGAAGCAGTCGCCCTCCCCTTCCTGCAAATGTAAGCCTTCCCTGCAGTCCCCTGAGCCTGACGTTCTTCCTCTGATCCTGTGACGGCCGCAAAGCTCACACACAGAATACACAAGTCTCCGGGAGACCTCAGGGGATCCCGTGTCCTGTGGCTGGGACAGGGTGCCTCTCTTTAAAGTAACGCCCTGTGCCATGCATGGAGCTGCAAGCCAGCTGGGGAGATATCAATCTACAGAAAACAACAGCTTCGAGGTTCCCAGCACACATCCTGCTCATGGCTTTGCCATATATAGCCCTGGGCACGATGGATCATTCTGGAAAGGCCGTGGCCCTCCGCCTGCCTCCCAGTTCTGCAGCCCCATGACCAGCGTGGACTGAGTATTAGCTGCCCACCCTCCTATCTCACGCCATCTCGCACAAGCACATCAGACTTGGCATGAGAGCTGTCAAGGCGAGTCGCTTTGATCACAATGCCTCGAAACTCGATTTAAAATTTTCAAACCAGCCAAGGCAGGTGCAAAATAGGTCATGCAGGTGTCGTGGACCAAACACCTGCGCAAGTGGAGCGTTACATTTGGGGGCTGCGAGCCCCGGGCCAGGGCGGCCAGGGCGGCCAGGGCCCGGGCCCAGGATGCTTGGGCTCAGGCGGGCCCCGCTGCCCAGGCCTCTCCGGGTCCACCGGCCGCGGCCCCGACGCAGCCGCGGGGTCGCCGCTGCCACGTTGAGCCCCTAAGCCAGGGCCGGCCTCACTCACCTCGGCGCGGGCGGAGCCAGGCTCCGGGGCGCAGGCGGCGCTGGACCGCGCAGGCCGAGGGACCGGCAGGCAGGACGGGGCGGGGCCAGGCGCGGCGGCGGGGGCGGGGCCGGCGGCGAGAGGCGGGGCTCCGGGAGCGCGGGGCGGGGCGCGAGCGGCGGACAGGAGGACGGAAACCTCGCGAGCCTTCACGCTTGCTCTCGCGCTCTCCTGATAGGTTGGCAGGACGTGCGGCTCAGAGTCCCAGCCGCGGTGCCTATTGGCCGACAGCTCGGCTTCCTCCTGCCTGGCCCCACCTACTGCGCGAGTCCCGCTTCCGGTTCCGGCAAGAGTGGCGATGTGGCAGGAGTGGTTTTTTCGCTTGGTTCTTGACTGAATTTGTTGCATCCAGCGCCATCCTCTGTTGCCAGCATCCAGCCTTGCCCTTTTCTTCAGCCATTCGTGCTTTCTTGGCTCCCACGTCTTGTTACTACTCCCCTGGCCCGGGAAAGGCCGCCGCCCAGTGGGTTTATGGCCGCGGCCCGTCAAGGTTCAGCCCGGGGTTTCAGGTCTCCCTGGGCCCCTGGTGCTGTTCCAAAGATGAGGCGGTGACCTCGCCGCTGTCCCGGAAGGGCCCGAGGCCTGTTGTGAAACACTAAGCGACCCCGACGCCGTGGAGCCCCGCCAGTGCTCGGGCGCTGCCAGCGCGACCCGGCAGGCCACTGGCCGGTTTCTGCGAGACCGGAAACCTGCCCAGGGAATGCAGCCAGGAGGCTTTGTTAAAAGCAGAGAAGGGGGGAAATTCGATCCAAGAGTTGTTCCTTGGGTTGCGTAGTGTTTCCAAGGCCTCTTCTGTGCGTCTCTAAAAACCCAAGAATTGTGCTCAAGTTTTACTAAGCTTAAAAAAAGGGATACCTACAGTTGGTGTAAAAACGACAAAAACCTTTAGTGTTACGTACTATTCTAGGATTTAAAAGCAAAAGATACACACACACACAATTATTATTCTAGCTATCGGTAATCATTTTCTCTTTTGCTTTTAAATATACATATACATGCATATATATATATATACACACACACATTGTTTTGATGTCAGGGGTGGGTCCCAGGACCGCATAAATACAAAGGACTCTGAGCCCAGTCTCTGAGCTGCATTCCCCGCCAGAATAAGATTTTTAAAATGATCTATGTGAATCACTTCTCGAAAAATAATTGTTTAGTAAGAAATACTGAGTGCAAAACGCATCATCTTAGCATTTTAACACCTCCACCACAACCAGACACAAAAGTGGTCACCAGATTCTGTGTGTGGGTTAATACTTTTAAATTCTGTAAAAACGATGGCTGTAAACTTTCATATACAAAAACACGGAATGGGAGATCTTTTGAGGGGGGTGATTTTGCCAGCTTTGGTAAAGTTTCACAGCAACAGGCAGTGTGTTACCCCTTTAAGAAAATTGCAAAGAAAAGGCAACCCGGGTTTAAAATTCCCGCCTCTGGCTCTCAAGGATTGGGCTACAAACTTCCTCAAAATTCCCTTCTCCACTCCCCATTGGTGCGGGCTCCATCATTCACTGCTCCGCCTGGAGTTTCGCTGAATTCCAGGTTGCTTCACCGGAAAAGTCTCCAATTCAGGCTTCCAGAGCCTGGGACTTTTTCAAGGTTATCGATCGATCGTCAGAATCTGGGGAGCCGAGGCAATGGGATGAGAAGCGAGCTGGCCAGAGTGGTCGCTGAGACAGCTGTGAAGGCTGAGGAGAAACATGGAGACGCCCTCCTGCTCACCGGGTAAACCAACAAAGGATTTTATGCCACGGGTCTGAGCGCGAGTGAGACTTTTCCAAGTGCTTTGGGAAGGAGCAAGTATTCCAAGGATGATGGATAAAAAAAAATACTGGCTGTCTACTACTTGTGGCGGGAAGAGGAGTTCTCTGCGGGTGTTTTCGCCTTAGAGTAAACTGGATTCCTGAATCATCAGGGCCTGGGACCATGTAGAGCCTGGAATCCAACCTGGGACCCCCAACCCCAGCCCCCTCAGCTGCTTATTTGTAAAAGGAACAAGACAGAAAGATTAATCACAGGTTCTTTTATACTCTAAGAAGCTGTGATTTATCATGGTTCCATAGAAACACCTAAGAATGTCATTTTGTTTTGTTTCATTTTGGGGTCACACCCAGTGATGTTCAGGGGATACTCCTGGCTCTGCACCTAGGAATTACTCCCGACAATGCATTGGGATCCCTAGGGGATGCCCGGTATTGAACCCTGGTCAGCTGTGTGCAAGACAAGAGCCCTACCTGCTGTACTATCACTCTGCCCCAAGGAATGTAATTTTTAAGTGAATTCAGTGTTTTGTGTGTCTTTTAATACCTAGCACAATAGATAAAGCATATGTTAAAAGAGGTAAGGGAAAAAATAGCTCGAGAGAGTACAGCACATAAGGCATTTGCATGTAGTGCCCAACCCAGATTTGATCCCCAAGTACCACATCGCACCCAGTCCTGTCAGGAGTGAGCTTTGAGCAGAGCCAGAAATAAGCCCTGAGCACTGCTGGGTGTGCCCCGATCTCCCCAAAGAAAGAAAAAAATGGAATCATCTGGTCCAGATTCTGTATTTGCATATAAAAAAATCCAGGGACAAAAATCTTAGAGGTTCTTCAAATTTTAGTTCAACTAATAACTAGTGACATACTTGACCTCTGCAGGGTCTGATGGACATTTGGTTTGCAGTATGTTTCTTAAATATTTCAAAATGTTTCTTAAATAGTCTGTTATCCATAAGAGGATATGAAACAATAAAATACTCTCTAGAAATGTGAGTCTGGCTGGGAGAAAGAGTTAAAACATTTAAAGACGTTTTCTGGATGGTTCCTGTGATGTAGATAAGCTTCAGAAGGCCAGCTCCCATGAGTGGAAATATTCAGAGACTTAATAATTCACAATAGAAGAATTAAGTCCCAGTTGGGCCAGAGCAGTGGGCAGGATTTCAGTAGAAAAAGAAAGGAAACAGACCCGGGTTCAACCCCTAGCATCTTATATAGTCTTCTCCTCCCCCCCCCCCCACCTCATAGTGATCCCTGAGCACCTCCAGGTGTGTTGCAGAAACAAAAATAAGGGGAATGACTCCTGGGTAATGGGTGAGTTGTTGGAAGATGAAAAACACGCGCACGCAGTGCTCAAAGAATCTAAATGCCGCAGTTGTGTGGTTTGGTCCTGGATTTAGAAAGGGAGGGAGGAGAATGCTAAGAAGATAGTGGGTAAAGTGGCTTCAAGAGCAAAAACTGGTGCCCGAGGGCTCAGTTCCATAAAGAATGGACCACAGATTGGTCCCAGCTCCTGCCAGGTCTGTGATGCCATCTCACTAATGGGCAAACACAGGTAAATCAACAAACACCCCCTACTTCCTCTTTAGGGAACCCAAGTGGGCTTTTCTTTTCACTTCAAAATTTGCCCCAAAGAATCGTAAGCTCATTGATCCTAAGTTATTGACCAGGATGCTGGATTCAGGGCAAGGAGTAGTGGAAGAGCACACACATGTTTAAGTGTGCAAGTCCCTAAGTTTGAGCCCAGATACTGCATCCCTCCCATTCTCCTGCCTCCAGCACCATCAGCTGTAGCCCGGATTACCTATTGGTCCAATTAACCCAAGGACCATGGGCCAAGCTTTGCTGGGAGAGGTCCCTAATAAAACAGAAAGAAGAAAAGATGCTTGATCCAGATGCCTTTTCTTCCCAAAGGTTAAATAATAAATGATGATGTGATGCGTGTCTTGGTGTTCTCCTAAAGCACCATTTTCTCAGCTGGGGGCCGTGTGGTCTCTCTGTGAGGCCTTAAGCGTATTCTAGGGTGGCGGGGCAAAGGTGCATTACATCAGTGGTGGCCCATGGCACAAGACCAGGGGCCAGTCTGTGGGACAGGGTGGCACAGGAAGGAAATGATCAAAAGGGTGGCACTGAGAGGGTGAGAAACACCATAAAGTACTGAAGTTGTTTATAATTGATGTATAATTGCATCCCTTTGAAGGGAGTGAGAGTGCAGTCAAGGCACAGAGAGGATTGTTGTTCCTGTTGGACCAGTTCCGGTTTCTTTTCACCAGAGCTTAAGTGTGTTTCTTGGTTTGTTGAACCACATTAAAGGGATTTTGTTGTCATTGGGGGGCACATCGGCAGTGCTCAGGGATCAGTCCTGGTGGGACTCAGGCGACTGCGCAGTGTTAGAGATTGAACCCGGGTTGGTCATGTGCAAAGCAAGCTCCTTCACCCTGTTCTAGCTCTCTGGCCCCAATTGAAGGCATTTTAAGGACACACACACACACAAAAAACAGCGCCATTCAGGTGTCCTGACTAGTATTCACCTTTCTCCCACCCACTCCTCTAAGACGAAACAGCTTCACCCCTCTGGGCTCTGCCAGGTCCTCAATACCATCCAGCCTAGGGATGGGAAAACACTGACCTTTAGGGAAACAGAGAGGTTTTCCTCTCATTGCACAACTTGCTCCAAAGATTCAAAATCTTGTTGAGCCCAAGTTGTTGATCAGTGTTTTTATTTGTCTTGGTTTGATGCACCAGTGGTACTGCTGGCTTGGTGCTCGGGACCAATGGTACTCCTGGCTTGGTGTTTGGGCGACCACGTGCAATGCCAGGGACTGAACTGGAATTCAAGGGAAGTGCCTAGCCCCTGAACTCTCTTTGACCCTCATTTAATTTCTGTCCTTGTGGTAGCACAGTGGTAGGGCATTTGCCTTGCGCGCAGCCAGCCCGGCCGAGCCAGGTTCGATTCCTCTGCCCCTCTTGGAGAGCCTGGCAAGCTACCAAGAGTATTCAGTATGCCAAACACAGTAACAAGAATGGAGACGTTACTGGGCCCGCTCGAGCAAATCGATGAACAACGGGAGGGCAGGGCAGTTACAGTTCTACTCAAAATTTCCCACTTCCTGTTCGATCCAGTTTGGCCTTTTTTCCCCTTCGCCGTCACTTTTCCATTCCGAAGTGTGATGTGTCAACTTTCAGACAGGCCCGACATTTTTCTAAGTAGTGCTGGAGGGAGGTGGGGGGCTCCTACCTGGCAGTGCTCCATGGCGACTCTTGGCTCTGTGCCCAGTTCACTCATGCTGGTGCCCGGGGCTCGCGGAGCTAGCATCTGAAAGCTCTGTGCTCTCTTTATTCTCTCCTATCTGGTCACAATGGAGCCGCTGCCCCTCCCTTCCCGGGTCCCTTCCATCTCCCCAGAGGCCACACCTGGACAGCAACACCTGGGCCCACTGGGGTCCTTTGGAATATGGCATCAGGGAGTTTCCATCGACACAGCCTGGTGGGTTCTCTTGCTCCCTCAATTATCCCCTTTGCAAACAGCATCTCTTGGAAATGGAAGGCCAGGATACCACCCCCTGCCCCACCCCCGCCCCCGCTCCTGTGTTTCTGCATTCTGTTGGGCAGGCCTGGCGCGTAGAGCATCAGTTGATTGGGGGTGTCTGTCTGACAGTTGCCACAAGCCTTGGGAGGCCCCCAGAGGCTAACCAACCCAGGCAGGCAGGGAGTGGCGGGCTCATGAAATCCTAAATCCCAGCCATGGCTGTTACAAAGAAAAGGAAGGTGACAGACGAGAGGCATGTGGCTCCAAGTAAGTGAGCAAGAGAGTGTGTTCGGCCATCACTCCTCCACTGCAGAGCCCACACTTGGGCCAAGTTAGGGTACCCACCACAGTGCCAGGGTGCACTGCCGTCACTGCCATTGTGAAGCAGGGGTGTTTCTGCTCCTCCATGGCAGGGGCCCCAGAAGAACACTTTCGTCCATGCTAGCCTGTCACTCAGAGGACTCTGGCTAGGGACAGTGAGTGACAGTGAAACAACAGCACAGAGACAATGACAAATGGCATCTGAGTCTAGAGAGAGAGGCTACAGCTCACTGACCACCCGCCCAGGCCAGCCTGGGCTGGTTATTGTTCCCAGTTTACCCAAGCAGCCTGGCAGCTGAAGAGCAAAATCTTCACCTGGGTGTAGAATTTCTAACTTGAAACCAGTGTTCTTTCTAAAGCCAGAGTGACAGGATAGTGGGGTGGGCGCTGGCCTTGCACACAGCTAACCTGGGTTCTATCTGCAGCATCCCCGATGGTCTCCCAAGCACCATCACAAGTAATTCCTGACTGCAGAGCCAGGAGTAAGCCCTGAGCATCGCCAGGTGTGGCCCCCAAACAAAACCAGACTGGTTTCTTGCACCTTTGTTGAGGACTATTCCCACACGCTGCCTTGCCAAGGCCCCTTTGCTGTTTATCTCAGGCCTTCCCTGAGCAGCCAACCTTCCCCGTAATCCCTCCTGTAAGCTTTGCGCTCCTTGGCCTCCCAGCCCCTCCTGTCTTCATTCTCAATTCAGAGCATTACCCCACTGGGTGATTTCTGGTCCCCTCTCTGCTCTATGTCCTGGCACCTTCCTCAAAGCAATCAACCAGGGTTACCATTGGTCTTCTTTGGCTTCATTTTTCCATCTATCAAGAATTCCTGTTTTGCTGCCTAATGTCATGCTTCTTCACGGGTCTACGAATTGTTTGGTTTGGCTATTAATGACCAAGAATATAGATCTGCTTGGCATCTTGGCATCTTGGGCAAAAGAGGAAGTTTGACAGCATTCTTTCTGCTCCCTGTCCCAATTTCAGTTGGTGTTCTGCTGATTTAATTTGGGCTCTGAATGTTGTTTATGCTCATCTTAATTCGTGTGTGTGTGTGTGTGTGTGTGTGTGTGGTATATATGTATATGCATAAATATAATTTTTTCCCTTGGGGATGGGGCAAGATTTGGAATGCCAGGTTGTGCTCATTATTTAGTCCTGGCTCTGTGTTCAGGAATCACTCCTGGCAATGCTAGGGAACACTTTGTGGTGCCGGGGATTGAAACGGGGCATGCTGTGTGCCGACAAGCACTTCACCCCTGTACTCTCTCTCGAACCCACATACATATAATTTTTTTCCTTAATTTTTTATTAGTGAAACACCATGAGGTACAGCTGTAGACTTACAAATTTTTGTGTTTGGGTTTCAGTTATACAATGATCAAATACCCATCCCTCCACCAATGCCCATTCTCCACCACCACTGATCCCAGTATCCCTCCCACATCCCATCCCCCCCATCCCACCCTACCTCTGTGGCAGAGCATTCCCTTTTGTTATCTCTTTCCTTTTGAGTGCTATGGTTTGCAAAAGAGACATTGAGTGGCAATCATGTTCGGTCTATAGTCTACTCTCATCACCCATCTCCCATCGTGAGAGAAACCTCCCAACACCCTTTATTTGGTGCTCCCTTCCCTATCTGAGCTGCCTTTTCCCCTAGCGTGTGCAGCTGGCCTCAAAGCCATGGAGTAATCCTCCTGGTACTTATCTTGGCTATCCTTGGGTGTTAGTCTCCTATTTTGTTACTTTATGTTCCCCAGATGAATGAAATCTTTCTCTGTCTGTCCCTCTCTTTCTGACTCAATTCGCTTAGCATACTTTCATGTAGTACCACTTGTATATGCATTTCATGACTTCATCTTTTCTAACAGCTGTATAGTACTCCATTGTGTAGATGTACCAAAGTTTCTTTAACCAGTCATCTGTTCTCAGGCACTCAGGTTTTTTCCAGATTCTAGCTATTGTAAACAGTGCTGCAATGAACAAACAAGTGCAGATGTCACTTCGACTATACTATTTTGCCTCTCTGGGATATATTCCCAGGAGTGGAATTGCTGGGTCAAATGGGAGCTCAAATTCTAATTTTTTGAGGATTGTTCATACTGTTTTCCAAAAGGGCTGAACCAATTGGCATTCCCACCAGCAGTGAAGGAGAGTCCCTTTCTCGCCACATCCACACCAACACCGGTTGCTTTTGGATGTGAGAGCCCATATACATATAATTTAAAGGAACTAGGATACTTTCTTTAGAACTGGAAAGCATCCTGAGAGTTTACAGCGAAATCAATCCTAGCCTCTGGGGCCTCCATATAGATTGCTACGCCTGGTAGCAAGAGATGTCCTGGTCACAGGGCAGAAGAGTTTCTAGTTCCAGAGCATTGGGGGAATTGGATCTTTTTCTGTCTGGAATCACTTACACCTTCACTTTCTTATTGGAAAAATTCAGAGGACAATGCCTATAAAAACATGCAAGAATCCCCGGAGCTCCACGTGACCAGGAACCTCGATGAAGTTGTCGCTGCGGTCAGCATCACACCTCGGAGGAAGACTCAGGGCCGGCTGCTGCAGACTCATGACAAGCTCTTTCGGCCACCTCGGGAGAAGCTCCAGCACTGCACCGAGAAAGCCAAGCTCTACTTGGACAGTCACGAGGTGCAGAGGCCTAGGTGTCCGGGCATCCCGGGCCTGGGGTCTGGTCGCAGTGGGCAGGCATCCAGGCATCCAGACACGGGGTCTGAGCACAGAGGGTGGGTGTCCAGGCATCCCGGGTCAGGGGTCTGGCCATGGAGGGTGGGTGTCCGGGCATCCTGGGTCCAGGGATCTGGGCACAGAGGGTGGGTGTCTGGACATCATGGGCCCAGGGTCTGGGCATAGAGGGAGGGTGTCTGGGCATCCCGGGCCTGGGGATCTGGGTGCAGAGGGTGGGCGTCCGGGTATCCCAGACCCGGGGGTCTGGATGCGGAGGGCAGGTGACTCGCTGAGCTCCCTGCCCTGCTCTGGGCCTGCTGACTGAGGGCCCCAGTGAGTCCTGCCGACCTCCTACACTCGCTAACCTGTGTTGGCTGGTCAAGGTGGGGTCCTGGCACAGTATTCGGACTCCAGCCCCGAGGACATGAGTCCGGTTGGCTCAGGCCCACTTAACTCTCATTGCTGCTTCAGCATGCCTTTCTCCAAATGCCACTTCAGGCTCCTCTGTGGGAGACTGGGGTGTGTTAATGGAGGCCAAACCATCTATTACCTCAAGGCTGGTGACCAGCACACTCTATTTCCTGGTGACTGGTGTCAGTGTGAGGTTTTGTTTCCTTATGCTGGATTTGGACAATGCACTGGGGGCAGTGGCTCATGTCCCCTTTACTATACTGCAGCCAACCTGGAGCAGTTGGCTCAGGAGTTTCTTTGCCATCTTTTCTCTGTGCCGCCCATATCATACTGACATGAACTCTGAACTAGGAAGTAATAGAAGAAGCCACGGCTGGGCCTATCTGCCTCCATCCACCTGGAAACTGCCCCTCGGCAGCTCTTACTCAGAATCTGCTGGGACTGAAACCACTCTCTGTCCTGTGCTGCTTGCCAGGTGGAGACTTGAGGCCCCAGCCTGCTTTCCTCATTTCTTTCTTGGCGTTTTTTTCACAGCAAAGAGATTTTCATCTCAGGCCGTGGCTAGAAATATCCGACCCATCATCCTCACCATGGTCATGTCCCTGCTGCCGTCTCTGTGCTCTCTGCCTGCCCCAATCTTCATTTTCAGCACCCATAGGTCATGTAGGTCAGCTCACACTTTCCTCTGCTCCCCTGGTCCCCTGGGGGAAAGCAGTCCAGAGTTACCAGGATCCGGGTCCAAACTTGCACTCTGGAGGAAGGGTTCCAGCAGTGCTTTGGTGGCACTGGGGGTGTGTTGTAAGGCTCAGCATCAGCCACTCTCCTCTCTTGTGTCTCTGTGTCCAGCGGATGTCGCTGACGGCCTCCTGGGACCCCAGAGCATGCCCAGCCGCCCGCCCTCCCCGTCCCTGCTCTGTCTTCAGCCCATCTCAGTTGGTGCCTTTCTCGTCCGCGTCTCCGCATCTCCCCCCACATCTCTGAGTCTTGCCCTGACTTACCCTGGTGCTGGGCACCATACTGGGCACATGGCTGGTAGGCACTCTGCCGGAGGCTCTGAGTGGACTGTGGTACCGGATGCGGGGGCCGCCTCTGAGCCCAAGCCCTGTGCCCACAGCATAAGCATGCCATCCGGGAATTGGTGCGCTGCGTGGCCCTCACCAGGATCTGCTACGGGGACGCACACTGGAAGCTGGCGGAGGCGCACGTGAACCTGGCGCAAGGCTACCTGCAGCTGGGCGGTGAGTGCCCACCCGGCTCCCTCACCCCACGGCAGGCTCTGGTGTGGGGGAGTCTCCGCTTCACACAGGCAAGCCAGGAAGATTGCTTGGCAAAGAACTGGGGTTCCCAGCTGGCATCGATGCTACCCCACCCAGAGTCAGGGAGAAACTTTTTCTTTTTTTTTCTTTCATTGGGAGGTTGGGCCACACCCTCCAAAAGGCTGCCTCCTGCCGGGCTGGATTAACACTATGGGATGCCGAGGCTCAAACCTGGGTCAGCCGTGTGCAAGGCAAACTCCCTCCCCGCTGTCCTGTCACTCCGGCCCCAGTGAGGAGGATTCTTGTCCTCCTATGCTACCAAGGACAGGAAGCTTTGAGCCCTTCAGAAATTTGGGTTTTATTTTGTTTGGGGTATTTCATTTTGTCTGGCAGTGCTCAGGGCTTACTCCTGGCTCTGTGCTCAGGTATCACTCTTGGCCAGGCTCTGGGAACCCTGTGGAGTGCCACTGATTGAACCCAATTTGGGTGTGTGCAACAAGTCCCTTCCTTGCTGTCCTGGACTCCAGTCGCAACCCCACCCCACCGGTTTGTTTTTATGAGACCCCCTTCCCACCCCACCCCACAGCAGGGAATCAATGTGTGGGGTTTTGAAGCCTTTGCACCAAGGGCCCAGGGTGGATCTGGGCTCTCAGAAGGGCTGTGTTCATGTCTGTGTGGAGGGGGCAGGTGTTGTGGGGTGACCAGGGGCACAACCTATCCCCAGTCAGGAACAAGTGGACCCCTGGGCTGGCACAGCTGTGGGACTTGAGCAATGAGCCCGTCTCCAGCAAAGACTGGACATTTCCCACTGCTCAACTGCCTCTTTGCTGTCTGACTCTGTCTCTCCCCACTCACCGGTCTCTCCAGACCAAAACCTAGGATTTTTCAGCTAAGCTTTCCCTGCCGGCAGACCCAGGGCTGAGTTGCAGGCGATCTTCCCCTGGCATTTCCCTTTTTGTCCCCCGTAATGATTTAGAATACAGTGCATGTCTGGGCCACCAAGGCATCCAGGGAATACTGGCCAGGGCGAGGGCGAGGTCGTTTCTCGCGTCCTCCGGTGCTGGGCACAACCGATGTTTTTCCTCCAGGGCTGGACGGCCGAGCCTGAGGCGGGCCTAGCCCAGCTCTGGGTGCCACATCGCTGGCTGTAACGGACAGGATTCCTTGGCCCAGAGGGAAGGAAATGGACACCCAGACCCCCTCTCCATCCATCTGCAGGACTCTCACTGCAGGCAAAACAACATGCAGAAAAGGCCAAGGACATCCTCACCAGCTCCGTGACTGCCTCATGTGCCGACAGCACTGACGTGTTCAAATGCTCCATCGAGCTCTTCCTCACCACCGCCCAGGTCCTGCTGGCCCTGCAGAAGTATCCTTTGGCCAAGCCTCAACGGGGCGGCTCTGCTCAGGGGATTGAGGGGTTCCCCCACTCAGAGTCTCCATGCCCAGTTTCCTGAACCTGCCTCAGGGTTAAGGAGGCGGCAGAGAACCTGAGCAAGGCCGAGCGACTGTCCCACAAGCTGCTGCAGTGTGGCTGCATCCCCAAGGACGAGTGGGTGGACACACAGTGGCGCATCGAGCTGACATCGGCCCAGTGAGTCCTGGCCCCATGGGCCCTCTGTGGGCAGAATGGGGCGACAGTGAATCTGGGGCATGTTCTGTGTGTGCCTGAGAGACAGAGGGCTCTGAGTTATTTCTTGGGGCACCTCAGATCTGTGTGATGACGGGAGGCTCCCCTGAGAAGACCCCTGTTCCCAAACAGCTACTGCTCCACCAAACATATCCAGTGCTTCTCTGTGGCCACTGCCCAGAAGCAGGAGGGCAGCCTGGTCCCCCGGCAGATGGGGAGCAACCCCCCACACCGGGCATAACCAATCCCCACTTCTGCCCCCTGTCCCCACCCCTGCACCCTTTCTCCCCACCCTGCACCCTCCCTCCCCACCACTGAATCCCTTCCTCATGGCACCTGCACCCTCCCTCTCCACCCCTGCCTTCGGGCATATGTGTCTCCCTAACTCACAGACGCCCACAAAGTGGCTGGCTGATGCTGGCTGCTGACCTGGGCCTCCCTTGAAAACCCGACAGTGCTTCGGGCTTGAGGGTTGCTCCCAGTGGTGCTTGGGGCACTGGACCACGGAGGGGCTGGAACCTGGAGTTCCTGCATGCAGGTGCATGGCCCGGACCCTGTCTCTTCTCCCCAGTGCCCACGTCACCACTTCCTGAGCTGGGAAACACGCGTGGTCAAACAGGAAACGGGCACAACAGAGACCCACGATCTGGTGTTTGTTGTAGCCACTAAGATCTGACTAATGCTATTAGCATATCATGTTGAACGGCGTTGCTACCAAATAAATGGATCGTCTGCCCCCAGAAGCCAGCAGCTTTCTTGTGGCTTTCCTAGTGTGCGGTGCCACACATGGCCAGCAGGTGGCGCGCCTGGCGCGCAGCAGGGCGGCACCCCACAAGCATTGCAGCGCCCAGGGCCCTGGCCAGCCACCTAACTTTGGAGGGGAGCGCCTTATGCCTTATACGTTGCTCTGTTTCGAACACTGTTACCTCCTGACACCCCGATTCCTCTCAGCGTCTCCCATTCCTAGGAACTGATCGAGGTTCCAGGGTTTTTTTAAATTTTTTATTTATTTATTTTTTTTCCTGCTCATCTCTGGTTTCTCGCCCCGGGCTCTGCCTGAGACTCTGGGCTTGTACTTTCCTGCAGACAGGACTCAGAGGTGGGGGAAGAACTGGCAGGCCCCAGGGAGGATTGCCTGCCCTGCGTGTCCACTCTCACTGGCTTGCCTTTTATGGTCAGGCCCTTTCTTCTCTCCTCAGGGCTGATCCATGCTCCCTGCCTCCTTTGCTATGCGGGCCATCCCTGCCACCTGCCCTCCCCGAGCCAGCCCTGAGTCCTGACTTTAGGGGCCCTTTCACGTGTTAATTAACTATTTTTTCAGAATGGGGGCCGAAGCAATGGTCCAGGTCCAGCGGGGAGGGCGTTTGCTTTGAACAGCCTGGATTCAATCCCCGGCATCCCATAGGGTCCCCTGCCAGGAGTGATACCTGAGCACAGAGCCAGGATTATGCCCTGAGCACTGTTGGGTGTGGAGAAGGAAGGGAGGGAAAGAGGAGGGAAGTAGGGACGGGGAGGAAGGGAGAAAGGAGGCAGAGGGGAGAAGGAGGGAGGGAGGAAGGAGGAAGGGCACAGGCACCGTTGTTCTTCTTTTTGCTTGTTTTTGTTTTGGGACCCCATCCAACAATGCTCAGGGGTTGCTCCTGGCTCTGCGCTAAGGTATCACTCCGGCAAACTGCTTGCTGTCCAAACACACTGGGCCCTGCACTGTTGTTACTCTTAACTGACTGAGAGGAGACCCTGAGCCTCCCGGTCATCCCATAGGCCAGCCTCGTGCCCACAGGCCTGCTGCGCCTTGGCAGAAAGATGGGCTTTGCTAGTTGACAAGTCAGTCTGGGGCAAAAGAGTTGGTCCAGGGCCCATGCTGATAACCTGATCTGATTCCCAGTACTCATAGGGTCCCCCGAGGACACCTTGGGGCCACTCTGGGGATACAGAGCCAGAAGTTGCCTGTGAGCACTGCCGGCTGCCAGCGCGACCCACACCCTCCCTGTGTAAGATAAACAGGCTGAGAAAAGGGTCCGTAAGCAGCGCTGAGCCGGCCAGGGGGGCCGTCGTTCAGGCTTGGTACTTTTCTTTACTTTTTAAGGATCTACCAAGGTCAGAAGAAGCCGAAAGAAGCTCTGGCTCGCTACCAGAAAGCCTTGCACCATGCGGTGATCAGCAAAGGGGAGAAGAGCCTGGAGTGCGTCCCTATCCTGCGGGAGCTGGCGGGCGCTGAGCAAGCACTAGGACTGCACGAGGCGGCTGTGCAGCACTTCCAGCAGGTGAGCTGTGCGCACCCGAACACTCAGGGGCTGCCTCAGCCCCCCACCCCCAGGTCCCCCCACACCCGAGCACTTCAGGCACGCTGCTACATAGGCCCCTGGGTCCCCGAGTGTGTCTGCATCTGCTGCATGTGCCTGCTGTAGTATGTTTGACCTGTGGGGGAAGGGGGAACTGCCACCCGATGTCCAAAACTGTCCCCTCTGCATCTTCCAGCGCAGACCACTCTGCTCCCTCACTCCATCCCCAAACCTGCTTTTGTTTTTAGAAACCATTGAGTGAGTGTCAAGCGTTGTCTGTTAGGTTTTTTTTTTTTTTCTTTTTGGGTCACACCTTGCGATGCTCAGGGATTACTCCTGGCTCATGCACTCAGGAATTACTCTTGGCGGTGCTCGGGGGACCATATGGGATGCTGGGAATCGAACCTGAGTCAGCCATGTTGGCTGCGTGCAAGGCAAACGCCCTCCCCGCTGTGCTATCTCTCCAGCCCCGGTGTCTGTTAGGTTTTGATTTGAATTTTCCTGGTGCCGAGCGATGTTCTGCTCCTTGATATAAACTTGTTTTCCATCTGTTTATCTTCTCCGGAGAAATGTCTCTTTGAGCCCTCAGCTCTTTGTTTGGCTGCAAGATACGAATGGGCTACACCCGGTGGTGCTCAGTACTCACTCCTGGCACTGCATTCAGCAATCTGCACTCAGATTTAGGGGACTCTTTGGGGTGCTGGGGATTGAACCTGGGCCAGCCACATGCAGGGCAAGTGCCCTTCCCACTGTACCATAGTCCCAGCTCCCGGGTTCCATTTCTTATGTACTCTCAACAATTAATAGGTACCTAGAGGCAGGAGCAATTAGCATAGTGAGGAGGGTGTTTTTTTAAAAGGTCATGGGGGCTGGAATGATAGCACAGCGGGTAGGGTGTTTGCCTTGCATGCGGCTGACCTGGGTTCGATTCCCAGCATTCCATATGGTCCCCTGAGCACTGCCAGGAGTGATTCCTGAGTGCAAAGCCAGCAGTAACCCCCGAGCATCGCCAGGTGTGACCCGAAAAGCAAAATAAATAAATAAATAAATAAAGGTCTTGTACATAGCAGACCCAGGTTCAATCTTTGGCACCCAAGATGGTCCCCTGAGCACCGCTGGGTCTGGCCAAAAAACTGGGGAAAAAAAATAAAAGTATTTAAATAGGGGCTAGGAGAGTTGATACAGAAAGTAAGGCACTTTCTTTGCATGCAGCTGACCCAGGTTCTATCCTGGGTATCACAGAGAGTTCCAGAGCAGCCTCCTGAGCACAGAGCCAGGAGGAAAACTGACACCCAGTCAGATGTGGTCCCAAGCCAAACAAAGAAGATAACCCCTTAAGCACAGAGTTCCTTTTAAATCAGAAACCCAGGTCAGAGTTCAGCCTTCCCTGTTGGCAAGTCATCAAACCTCTCCACAGGACAAAACAGGACTCAGAGCAGAAGCACGGCAGGGAGTGCACTTGCCTTGCACATGGCCAACCGGGGCTCAATCCTCGGCATCCAACAGGGTCCCCTGAGCACCACCAGGAGTGATTCCTGAGTGCAGAGCCAGGAGGAACCCCTTAGCATTGCTGGGTGTGGCCCAAAAATCAAAATGATAACAACCAAAGAACTCCGGGTACAGAAGACAGACAGACCTCTGCATCCCAGAACTCTCCTCGTGCTTGAGGAAGGACTGAGCAGAACCCTCCTTTGCCCGAGCCCCTGTACCTAAGACCCAGCTCTCGGGGGAGCCAGGCCTGCAGGGCCCCAGGAAGAAAGGGGCACTCTGTGCTTCCCTCCCTGCGGCTCGCACCCGTCATTCCTTTGGAGTGAGAGAAAGGCCCAGAAAGAAAAGGTCTATTCTTTTCTGTGGCTCATAGGAAACATTCTGGAATATTTTCGGAACTAACCCATTAAGATGGAAAAATGGAGCAAAGGCAACGAAGCACAGAGGCGCCCGGGACCCCATGAAAGGGGGTGTGAAAGCCAACCCCCCCACATACCCCAACAGACCTTATTTTCCTCTCCACAAGGAAAATTACAGGCCTCATTACCAAGCACTGGAGTGTTTGAGGGGGAGGAAGATGGCGGCTTGGGGGCATGGGAGGGACTTCCAAGGGCTCTGGATATATACCACTGTGCTTGGAGGTCACCCCTCAAGTTACAGACCCTTCCTACTAGGGCAGAGCTCTGCTCTGCAGGGGTCCCCCGAAAGTGTAGTGAAATAACCGAGGGGGCTTGTCCAGCATCTAGCTGGGGTGTCGGCTCTGGTTGACCACACCCTGGCTCAGACCTTTGTGGCACAGGCTGCACTGCCCACGCCCTGGTCATCACCACCTGGAAGCTGGTTTGTTTCATTTGCTTGTGTACCGGTCAAGCCGGGTTCGATTCTTCCGCCCCTCTCGAAGAGCCTGGCAAGCTACCGAGAGTATCTCGCCCGCACGGCAAAGCCTGACAAGCTACCTGTGATGTATTCAATATGCCAAACACAGTAACAACAAGTCTCACAATGGAGACGTTACTGGGCCCGCTCGAGCAAATCGATGAACAACGGGAGGACAGTGCTACAGTGCAGATAAACTCTGGGTCCTGAGGGCCAGACCATTGCCCTGGGTTCAAAATTTAAATGGATCCCAAATGTAAATGACCGTCTTCTGCCTTAGAAACATTTTCCAGAAATGACATAAGCCAGGTGCTACCTGCTCCTTTTTGGTGACAACTTTTTTGTTTGTTTTGTTTTTATTTGGAGGCCACACCTAGCAGTGCTCAGGATGTACTCCTCGCTCTGTGCTCAGGAATCACTCAGTGCTCAGGGGACCCTAGTGAATGCCGGGAATCAAATCTGGGTTGGCCGCGCGCAAGGCAAACATCCACCCACTGTACCAATGTTCTGGCCCCCTTTTTAGAAAAATATAAATGATAATATTGTTTATTTTTGAAAAATAAATCAGGCTTACACAGAAAGATTCCCAATGCCCTGCCTTCCCCCCGGGAGCCTCCAGCACTGACAGGAGTCGGACCTGTTCCCACTGCCAGCGAGTGCTGGGCCTGTGTGGGGACAAATCATGAGGAAAAGGAAGAGAGAGCCAGGATGATGGAGGGGTCTGCCGACATGGGAAGGCAAAGGCTCTCGATGCCAAACATATCGGGAGAGCAAAACACAAAAGCCGAGGACAGATAATATAGAGAGAGTTCTTATAAATCCTGGACAAGAGAGAGAACTCTTTTTGGGGTGAGAAGTTGGGGCTTGGGGCTCTGGGCTCAGGGTTTGTTCCCCGTGGAGCTCGGGGACCCTGTGAATCTGGGGACCAGCGCTGGGTCAACCACATGCCAGGCAAGTGCCTTCGCACCCTGCCCTATGTCTTTGGCGCCAAGGATGAACGTTTTTAGCCTGTTTCACCAGTGATCTGAGCTGATGGGCTCTCAATCTGCTCGCGGCACTAGAAATGGTGTGAATCCCCCTTCCTAGAATCAAGGATCCTGGTGAATAGACCAAGGAGGGGGTCGGCCAGCTGTGGGGGGCTGGCTGTCCATCCCCCTGGTGGGAGGGTGCAGGCAAGGACTGGACCCCGGGAAGTCCATACTTTGATTTGTTTTGGACTGGGGGTCACACCTGGTGATGCTCAGGAGTTACTCCCGGCCCTTCACTCAGGAATCACTCCTGGCAGTGCTCGGGAACGCTCTGGGGTGCCCAGGACAGAACCCAGTGTGCAGCGCCCTCCCCGCTGTCCTATCACTCGGGCCCCGGGAAGCCTGCGCTTCCGGCCAGCAGGCCTCTGTGACCCCATTAACTGGGGTGACTCTGAGCCACAGCCGCCCCAGGAGTATTTATAGTCTCAGCAGGCAGCCCCACTCCAGAGCTCCCACTCTGACCCGCCCCTCCCCGGGACGCAGGGCCCTAGGAGACTCCCACTGTACTCCTGCCCCGCTTCTCAGCCTGCAGGGTGGTCTCTCATGGGCAGGCTTCAGTCCCTCCTTCTCTACCCCAGCTTCAGGGAGACCAGCCCTAGTCTCAGAATCCTGCAGAGCACCGTCAGAGGAAAGGGGCTTTGTGGGCTGGACGCCATGAGAGGCTGTGGGGGCCCCGTGTAGGGATAAACCACAGTCCACGGGGTCCTCTACCATCGGGTTGTGCTGGTGGTCCCCACCCTTCACCCTCTCAAGCACAGCCCTGGTGTCAGCCAGACCCAAGGGCCAGGCTGCTGGGGAAGGGGAGGGGGGTCCACAGCACCACAGGCGTCTTTGAGCCAAGGTGCCAGCTCATGCCAAGGGGGTCCCCAAAGGGGTCCCCAAGGGGGTACGGGTCCTGGGGTTCAGCCTGGAGTGGGACGGAGTTTGACCCGGAAGAGCTCAGGGGCCAGGACTCAGGGTCCTCATGCCATCTCCACCCCCACTGGGTCTGAGCACCACCGCATCTCCACTGAGTGGGCCCAAGATCGAGGGTGTGGATCTGCCTGCACATAGCCTCCACGGGGGGACAGATCCAGCCGTGCTCAGCCAACTCAACCCCAAGACCTGGTGGTGCTGGGAGCCACTAGGGCCAGCCTGGTGGTGCTTGGGGGACACCACAGCTGGCCCCAGCAGCATTCGAGGGCCCTGTGGGGGCAGGGCCTTGTGTCCTTGGGTTCTTGTGCGTGCCAGAGCACATGTGTGAGCCCCTGTAAAAGTGAGGCCCCTGCATATCTGTGTGTATGAGTGCACGTGTGCACATATATGTATGTGTGTATGTGTGTATGTGAACGTGTATGTGCATGTGTATATGTGTGTATGTGTGAATGTGTGAGTATCTATGCATATGTATGCATGTTTATATGTGTGTTGCATGTGTGCATGTGTGTATGTGCATGTGAATGTGTACTTGTGTGAATCTATGCATATGTGCAGTTGTATGTGTGTGCACATGTTACTGTGAGTGTGCTTGTGTGTGTGCGTGTGTGTGTACATTTGTGTGTATGCATATGTGTGCATGTGTATGTGAATGTGAGTATGTGTACGTGTGTG